TTGAACACATGCTCGTTCAGTTCTAGTCCAGCTGGCTTTGGTGAGCTCCCATTAGATCAGGCATACTGTCCCAGAGGGTGGACCAACCCTTCGCGGTGGCGGTCCTGACTTCCTTGCTTATCTTCTCCCTCCTTCTGTTCTTCAACTGTACCTTGGGAGCTCAGTCCAGTGCTCCGGTGTGGGTCTCTGTCTCTATCTCTGTCCATCGCTGGATGAAGGTTCTATGGTGATATTCAAGATATCCATCAGTGTGACTATGGGACAAGGCCAGTTCAGGCACCCTCTCCTCTACTGCCCAAGGACCTAGCAGGGGACATCCCTATGGACACCTGGGAACCCCTCTAGAGCCAAGTCTCTTGCCAACCCTAAAATGACTCCCTTAATTAAGATATCTTCTTCCCGAGACAGGGTCTCTTTGTGTAACCTTGACTATCCTGGAACTAGCTCTGTAGACCAGGCTAGCCTCAAACTCACAGAGATCTGCCGTCCTTTGCCTCCTGAGTGCTGAGAAAAAAGTCATGTGCTAACATCACCCAGCCTTCCTTTATTTCTTTTATAGAGTTTGTCATTTGTATATAAAAGGGCTATCTTTTTTTTAAGTTAAACTTATATCTAGCCACTTTGCTGAAAGTGTTTATCAAGTGTAGTAGTTCCCTGGTAGAATTTTTAGGCTCACTTATGTATACTATCATATCATCTGCTAAAAAAGATACTTTGACTTCTTCTTTTCAAATTTGTATCCCTTTGATCTCCTTCAGTGAGATTATGGTTCTAATTAAGACTTCAAGTGCTATATTGAATAGGTATGGAGAGAGTGTAAAGTCTTGTCTCTGATTTTAGTGGAATTGCTTTGACTTTCTGGTGGGGGACAATTCTGTACTCTGTCAATTATGTTTTAAATAAATGCTGATTTGCTACTAGCCAGTAAGGAAGTATAGGCGGGACAACCAGACAGAAGTAGAGGCAGGACAAGGAGAACAGGAATATTCTGGGAAGAAGGAAGCTCTTTTTTCCAGTCCTGCCCAGATCATGGAAGAAGCAAGATGTGACCTTCCCTGCTGAAAAAGGTACTGAGGCATGTAATTAACATATACTAGAATAATGGGCTTATATAAGTTACAAGAGTTAATAAGAAACCTGAGCTAATGGGCCAATCAGTTTATAAGTAATGCAGACTCTCTGTGTGATTTTTTTGGGACTGAATGGCTGCGGGAACTGGGCAGGACAGAAACCCCAACAAGCAGGACCTCATGTTACAACTTTCTTTCCATTCAATTTGATCTTGGCTATAGGCTTGCTCTATATCGCCTATCTTAAGTTTATATATTTTCCGTGTATCTCTTATCGCTCCAGGATTTTATTATTAAGAAGAGTATTGGATTTTTGCCAAACTCCTTTTCTGTAGCTAATGAAATGATCATGTGTTTTTTTTTCTTTCCTTTCATTTTGTTTATACAGTGAATTACATTGAGCCATCCTTGCTTCTCTGGGATGAAGCCTACTTCATTATGGTGGATGATCTTTTTGATGTGTTCTTGGATTTTGTTTGCAAGTATTTTATTGAGTATTTTGCATCTATGTTCAGAAGGGAAATTAATCTGTATTTCTCTTACTTCATTGATATTTATGTGATTTTGGGTATCAGGGTAATTATGGCCCCATAAAATGAATTGTACAATTTAAGGAGTATTGGTGTTAGCTCTTTGAAAGTCTGGTAGAATTCTGTGCTAAAATTATCTGGCTCTGGGATTTGCTTTTTTCTTGTTGGGCAGGGAATTGGGGAGGAGAGGTTGGTGACTGCTTCTGTTTTCTTAGGAGTTATAGGTCTAATCAAATTGTTTATCTGATCTTGGTTTAACTTTAGTAATGACAGCTATTGAGAGAATTATCTATTTCTTTTAAATTTTCCAATTTGGTGGAATACAGGTTTTTAAAATATGCCCTTATGATTCTCTTGATTTCCTTGGTGTCGATTGTTATGTCTCCCTTTTCATTTCTGATTTTGTTAATTTGGATATTCTTTCTCCATCCTTTGGTTAGTTTGGATAGAGTTTGTGTATCTTGTTGATTTTTCCCAAGAACCAACTCTCTGTTTCATTGATTCTTTGCATTATTCTCTTTTGTCCCCATTTTATTGATTTGAGCCCAGCTTTTCATTATTTCCTGGCATCTGCTTCTCCTGGTTGAGTTTGTTTCTTTTTGTTCCAGAGTTTTCAATTGTGCTGTTAAGTTGCTAGTATGAGATCGCTCCAGTTTTTTTTATGTAGGCACTTAGTGTTATAAACTTTCCTCTTAGCACAGTTTTCATTGCATTTCATAAGTTTGAGTATGCTGTGCATTCATTTTAATTGAATTCTAGAAAGTCTTTAATTACTTTATTTCTATCTTGACCCATTTTTTTTTTCATCCAGTAGAGAGTTGTTCAGTTTCCCTGAGTTTGTGATTTTCCTGTTGTGTCTGATATCTAGTTTTAAGCCAAGGCGGTCTGATAGACTGTAGGACGCTGCTTCACTTTTCTTGTATTTATTGAGACTTGTTTTGTGTCTAAGTATACGGTCAGTTTTGCACAAAGTTCCCCAAGGTACAGTATAAATGGCATATATATTCTTTTGTGTTTGAGTGAAAAGTTCTGGAAATGTCTGTTAGGTCCATTTGGTTTATAATATTGTCGCTCTGATATTTCTCTGTTTGGCTTCTGTCTGGACGACTGATCCATTGGCAAGAATGGGGTATTGAAGTCTCCCACTCTCAGTGTATAAGAGTCAGTATGTGATTTAAACTGTAGTAGTATTTATTTTACAAATACAGTTGCTTTTGTGTTTGGGGTAGAGATGTTAAGAGTTGAAATGTTGCCAGACAGTGGTGGTGCACATCTTTAATCCCAGCACATTGGAGACAGAGGCTGGTAGATGTGAGGCCAGCCTGACCTACAAAGCAAATTCCAGGACAGTCAGGGGACTTACACAGAGAAACCCTGTCTGGAAAAGCAAACAAACAAATAAAAACCAACCAAGCAAACAAAAAGAATTGAATGTCATCTTGTTGTATTTTTCCTTTGATGAGTATGTAATGTTCTTTCCTAACTCTTCTGATTTATCTTTGTTTGAAATCTATTTTGTTAGATATTAAAATGAGTACACTGCTTCTTATGTCCGTTTGTTTGGAATATCTTTTTATAGTCCTTTATCCTCAGGTAATGTCTGCCCTTGATGTTGAGATGTGTTTTGTGGATGCAGCATAAAGAAGAATCTTATTTTCACATTCATTCTGTTTAGTCTGTGGCTTTTTATTGTGGGAATGGAGACCATTGATACTGAGATATATGAAGGGCTAATGATTGTTGACTCTTGCTATTTTGTTGTTGTTGTTGGTCTGTATTGTGTGTGTTTCCCTTCTTTTGATTTTGCTAGTCTGAGATTATTTATTCCCTGTGTTTTCATGGGTATATTTAATATCCTTAGGTTGGAGTGTCTTCCTAACATGTTCTGTAGGGCTGGGTTTCTAGATAATGTTTAAATTTGACTTTATTATAGGATATCTCATTTTCCTCTATCTATGGAGATTGAAAGCTTTGCTGGGTATGTTAGTATGGGCTGGCATCTATGGTCTCTTAGAGTCTACAGCACATCTGTCCAGGCCCTTCTGGCTTTAGAGTCTCCATTGAGAAGTAGGGTAGTTCTAACAGGTCTGCCTTTATATGGTACTTTCTGTGTTCTCCTTGGAGCTTTTAATATTCTTCTTTGTTCTATGTCTTTACTATTTTATTATGCTTTGAGGAAACTTTCTTTTCTGGTCCTGTCTGCTTGATGTTCTGTATGCTTCAGGTACCTTTATGGGCATCTCCTTCTTTAGCCTAGGAAAATTTTCTTCTGAGATTTTGTTGAAAATATTTTCTGGGCATTTGAGCTGGGTTTCATTTCTTTCCTCTGTATCTTCATAGTGTCCCAGATTTCCTGGATGTTTTGTGTCAGGAGTGTTTTATATTTAACATTTTCTTTGACCAACATGTCTATTTCTTCCATGGTATCTTCAATGCTTGAGATTCCTTCTCCAATCTCCTGTATTCTGTTGGTGAAGTTTGCCTTTGAGGTTCCTGTTCCAATTCCTAAATTTTTCATTTCCAAAATTCCCCTAGTTTGAATTTCCTTTTTTGATTATGTTTCCATTTAAGGTCTCAAACAGTTTTATTTATTTACTACCATTGTTTGTTTGTGTTTTCTTGTCTTTCTTTAAGGGATTTATTCATTTCCTCTCTAAGGACCTCCATCACCTTCACATAGTTACTTTTTAAGGTCTTTTTCTTGTGCTTCAGCTATGTTGGAATATACAGGGCCTGCTGTGGTAGGATATCTGGACTCTAGTGGAGACACATTGCCCTGACTGTTGTTGATTGTGTTCTTTTGCTGGCGTGTTAGCATCTGGGCTTGGGATGGTTGCAGATTTAGGTGCCTATTTCTGGATTTGTCTCTGTCTCTATAGCTCAGACCTAAAAGCATCCAGAAAATCTTCTGATTTCTTTAAAAAAAATATTTTAATTTAAAATTATGTGTTTGTGGATGTGTATGCCTGTAGATAGGTGCATATGAGTACAGGTGCCTCCATAGGTCAGAGAAGGTCATCAGATCCCCTGGATCTGGAGTTATGGTCATTGTTACCTGCTTGATGTGGATGCTGAGACCTGAATTCTGGTCCTCTGCAAGCCTAACATATGCTGTTAGCCATTGTGCCATTTCTTTAGCTAAAACTTTTTTGTCTTTGTTTTTATTTTGTTTGCTTTTCGAGACAGGATTTCTCTGTGTAGCCCTGGCTGTCCTGGAACTCACTCTGTAGACCAGGCTGCCCTCAAACTCAGAGATCCACCTGCCTCTGCCTCCCAAGTGCTGGGATGAAAAATGTATGCTACCAATGACCGGCTAAGCCTCAAACTTTTTATTTCTTAAACATTTTTTAGAGTTTCTTTTGTGTGTGAGTGTTGGTAACCCTTCACATTTCTTTAATAGACCCCTGAACTATCAGCAGACCAAAGATTCACCATGGCAACATGTACTGAATCAGAGCAGAGTCCCAGCCTAGATCAAGAGGACAGCTGGAGGGACAGTGCCTCCCTGGACATAAGAGAAGACCTGGGTTCCAGACCAGAGTCTTCCTACAAGGCTGTCAGAGAGGTGAAAGGAGACCACCACAGACAGGGACCCTGGGCCAGGTCCCCCATGCGCCCTATGGAATCCCATCCTCACTTGTGCAAACTCCACCGAGAACCAGAGGCACCAGCGTTGGCTACCTCTTTGGAAAAGGATATGAGACAAAACTGCTATTCTGTGTGTGATATCAGGAGACTGGAAAGGTAAGATTTACCGTATTAGTAGGTATTTTGTAAGCTGTGTGTGTTGCATTGCCAGTTGATTACAATCATGCAGTCACTGATTATAGAGAAGATTATTGTGCCCAGCACTGTTCCGGGAGTTTGAGGGGAATAAGAAACTATAGAAGCCTGGGATTGGAGCTGCTAGGACCTGGGAACTTTGGGGAAGAGCAAACTCCACCCAGATAACAATCATCCCCAGTATGTCCTTGAGGCCGCTAATGGCAGGCCTTACATTTTCTCCCACTGCACAGTGTGTATTCTGTACCCACACAGCCTCTTTAGTTGCTTGTGTTTCCTGCTAGCACAAAGTGTGTATCCTACAGTCGCACGGCCTCTTTAGCTGGGGTGCAAAGGGAGACCTTATGCATGTGTTCGTTTCTATTGATGACATACACCTTTCTTATCAATACTACCTGGAAGCATAGTTCCATCTCCAAAGCCAGGCTGAAACCTTCATTTCAGCAACTGTTTTTATTCACTGTGTAGTTCAGTGCCTATCCACCCTTAAGCATTTGTAGTTTTAATTCCTGTTCCCATGAAAAAAACTTTACAATTCACTTGGAAGACTGTTTATTACATACATATACCTCGAACCTTGTTAGGCAGCAGAGATGGGAGGGAGGAGGAGAAGGCTAGATGGAGGTAGGGTGTGTTTCAGCTGCTAGGCATTTGTAAGAATGCATGGACATGAACAGGCAACAACCAGGAATAATATTTTGTGTTTGACATCATATAAAGCTGTTGGGATTCAATGACTCTCTTTTTTAGGTCATTGTAGCTGAATGATAAGAATAGACTCACAGAGACTGATAGGTAGGATGAGGTATTCAATCCTTTGTGTCCATAGCTTCTTCGTTTGTGTGTCTGGTCAGCCCTAGATCGAAAAGGTTAGAAAATGCACTTGTACTGCTCATGTACAGATGTTTTATTGATTATTTTCTAAACAGTATAGTATAACAACTATTTATAAAGTATTTTCATTGTATTAGTTATTCTAAACGATCTAGAAATGAGCTAGTATTTTAATAGGAGGTCTGTAGCTGATACACAAGTATGTACTACATTTATTTATATAGGGGGTTCTAGCATGTGGGGATTCTGGTATCTGTGGGGTGTGTGTGTGTGTGTGTGCGTGTGTGTGTGTTTGTGTATGTCCTAGAATGTATCTCAGATGGATAGTGAGAGAAGCAGAAGGCAGGATAATACAGCTGGGCTCTGGGAGAATTGTGGCAAATAGGGGCCAGGCTTAAAACCTAAAGGCATCCGGATACAAATGTTTAAAGATTGCTGTGCAAGCCAAACAGAACCCAACTGCTTTGCAGCATAGAAACAGCATGGGAAAGCACATCCATCTATGCTATTCATTCTCACCATCTGATAATTCACATGTGTTTCTTACAATCCTTACAATGTTACCGTTACAGTTTTTTTTTAATTACAATGAAATCAAGGGTGTCATAGGATGTGCTTGATGAAGTGATAAGGGAACAACTTAGAGATTTATCCAAGGCCAGCCATTAGCAAGCTAATGTGGGACTTCTCCTTTGCCATAGGCACAAGGCCACTTGTTTAGACTTGTAAAGGCTTTAAAAACATAATTGTATATTTGTGTGTGTGTGTGTGTGTGTGTGTGTGTGTGTGCATGTGTGATGAATATAAGAACTATAGAGCATGTGTAGAAGTCACAAGACCACTTGGGAGAGTTATCCCTTTCCTTACACTCAAATTCAGGTCATCATATTCGGCAGCAAGCCCCTTTACCTGCTGAACCATCTCACCAGCCCCAGATGTCTACAGGTTTTATTACCAGAAAGTTTAAAAAAGGGATCATTGATAACTGGATTAAAAATATTTCTGGATTTAAGTGCATGTCTAGTTAGACTTAGATTTACCATATAGCTTTAACTCATTATAGTCAATAGTTAAATAAGAGCATTTTTAACTTCTGATTAGCAGAGACCTTCAGTGCTTCATTCATGATAGCACAGCATAGTGGATTGCATATAAAAATGGTCAACTCTAACCTCATACTCCACGTGACAGTGTGCTGTAGCTTCCTGCAGCCAGGGCTGCCCACTCTTACCTGGATGTTTCCCGGATGCTCAACTTGCTCCTGCATGAAGAACCATTTGCCACCACACCCTTGTTGGTCAGACAAGGCTCCCTTATTTACCTTCTCATATTTTTTCCTTGCACGTCCTGATCTTATTGTTATTCATTTTTAGAAAATAATACTTTTATTTATTCTTTAAAAATTTCATGCAGTTTATTATGATCATATATTTCCCTCCCCTACTCCTCCCAGATTCTCCCCAACTGCCCTACAAACCCAAATTTATTCCTTGTCTCTTAAAAACCAAACAAACCACACTTTCCCTAGTTTGTGTTGGCTGACTACTCCTGGGTGTGTGGCCTGCCCTGGATTGTGACCAATACACTAAGTTTTGTTCAATTAAAGACAACTGACTTTCTCTCACCTAGCAGCAATTACATGCCAACAGTTTCTTTGGCAAGGCATAAGATATTTTTTTAGACAAGAGAGTCATTTATTTTTTATTTCCTGAATCAGATTAAATTTGGCTTACTTGTAAGGCTACACCATATGTCCAAAACCTGTCATCCTTGAAGGGTGTTCCCTTTTGAGGGTCACTTAGAGTCTTTTAGGTTCTGAACATTCTAGTGAGGCGTCTGATCCTCAGTTGCTATGGTTACTGCCTTCCCCCCCCTTCTTAGGTTTCTGTGGCTATGAATAACTAGCTGCAAGCCCCTTTGGGCCCACACACCCCTTTGCAACCCTTGGCACCATGGTGGTCCTGGGAATGACAACATTCTTCCTCCCCTCATTTCCTGGTTTTATTTTTGCCTCATTTTCTTCTTCCATTTAAGAATTTTCTTCACTCTGAAATAAGGACACAAAGCCGTGGCGAGCCCTTCTCCACAGGACAGTGCTTAGCTGCCATTTATGTACTCATTGCCTCTGTTTCCAAAGAAAGAAAAGTGTAGCATATATGCAGACATCTCTAAAGAAGGGTCCCCACCTTGGCAGTAGGGTTCTAATTAGTATTCCAGAGTGGGATGGTAGTTATCTAAGGGCTCCTTGGGAATATCTGCAGGTCAGAGGTGGCTGTCCCAGTCAAACTGGCCATTGATTTGTGGCCTCTCTAAGTCCAATGTTCTGTAGTTAGGGACAAAAGGCACAAATCTGTGGAGCATGTCATTTAGAGTGAGCATTACCACTTCTTCATGTGTGTGCCCAGAGAGCTGTCTTCCCTTGGTTGAGGGCTGTGCAGTTGTAAAGTAGCACCCAGGATTCCTAGGCCACTGTGCAAATCAGGAGAAATAAGATAGCACAGGGCCTAGCACACAGACTCAGCACTGTTCTGGATTCCTACTTTTTCTTGGGAAATTTCTTGTTAAAGAACAAACCGTATCGATTGAAATTCTCAGTCAACTGCCAGAACTTACTCTCTGCCAGGTTGCTCCATCTTAACAGCAGATGGCTGTCAGCACCCCAGCAAGCTCAGTGTGTATTTAGATTTCACTTATCCTTCCTCATACCCATCTCTATCCTACATCCGGAAATTAGACATTGTCATGGAAGATGTGGGTTGATACCTGTGGAAGAGGAGGGCTTGGCTGGGGATACATTTTTATACAAGGCTACTTGGTAAAGTTTGGCCATAAGGTGACAGTTATAGCCAGTCTTGTTATGCTTGGGCATCATTATAGGATGTCCAACATCTCTGTTTTTGGTGTGGAAGCAGATCACTTTCTCTTTGGCTAAGTCTCACATCAAGGTATCCCTTGAAAGTGTGGAGGGAGATGATGGTGAAGATGAAGCTTTGACAGCCAGGCAGCTGCACTGGCCCACAGACAGCTGTGCTCTGCACCCGCAGACAGCTGTGCTCTGCACCCACAGACAGCTGTGCTCTGAACCCGCAGACAGCTGTGCTCTGAACCCGCAGACAGCTGTGCTCTGAACCCACAGACAGCTGTGCTCTGCACCCACAGACAGCTGTGCTCTGAACCCACAGACAGCTGTGCTCTGAACCCACAGACAGCTGTGCTCTGAACCCGCAGACAGCTGTGCTCTGAACCCGCAGGCAACTGGGCAGTGCATGGCTTTTCTTGCTTTTTTGTCATAACTACCCACTGTTCCTTCTCTATGTTTAGAAGAAAACATAATTTATGTACATTTGACCAAGTCTATTACATTTTTAAACCAAATTTTTGCCCAAGTACTTGACAATTTCTAAATTGTTTTATAGTCTTGACAAAATCATTTTTTATACACAAGCATGCATATGCTCACATGAATGCAGTTTTATACAGATCCTGTAGCTGGCTTTCAGGACTGGAAATAAAGCCCCTTCATAGCAAACCTCAGGCCAAGATACACACTGTCTGGCATTTGTGGGTTTGTAGTTATTGGGGTGTTCTAGAGTTGATTTTTAAGAGAGATGGGCATTAGGGGAAAGGGGAGCAGGGATGGGAGCATATAATGAAACTGATTTGTTGATCTGGGTGTGGGGCGGGAGGCTAAGAAGTGAGGATCCAGGCAATTGGTTAGACAAACAACTAAATGTCTGTGCTTTTCTCTTAGATTTTCCTTCTCATCTTCTCTAACCAGATTAGCGACAGATATTTTCTGAGCGCCTCTCTGCATGTGTGCAGTGCTGCACAGAACACCCTGCTGTCTGCAGGACTGCTCTTTCTCATCCAAGGCATGTGTGGCTATCTTGGGTCCTCGCTGGAAGGCTGAATCTTTCTCTTACATCTGCGTGTGCACCGCCCAATAATGAGCCTCGCCGGTCCTCTGCCTCCTGTGTCCTTCTTTTGACACGGGGAATAATGTCACTCCAGCTGGCTGCCTCTCTAAAGACTTTATCGGTGCTCTGACTGGGACCTGATATTTGCACAAAGTGCTTTGAAGGTTGTTCCTAGTCTTCTTGGGCTCTTTTCCCTCTAATCTGTCTGCTGAAATAGTTCAAACCATCGGAGTCGCACACAATAGCAACATTTCACTGATGGAAAACTTACCCTGTACCAGCACTCCTGGAAGGCATATAATGTATAACAATCATTTGATTTATAGCTTCTAACAATTCTAACAATTTCAAGACCTTCCTGTGTTTCAGACAAGAAAAGCAAGATTGCAGATAAGCAGTATACCTACCCAGGGTCTCAGTGTAAAACACAAGTCCCAGAACTGACCCCAGGTCCTAGCTTTGCCTGCACTGATGTGCCCTCTGGCAGCTCCCCCATGGGCCCCTAGGTTTAATACGCTGAGCTGCTTCTGCTTACTGCCCACACTGTAATATTTCTGGGCTGCTCTTGTTCTCACGTGCCTGGAAGTCTCACCAGTTCAGGGACCATAGTATTTGCTGTTTATACCCTGGCGCTCAGGACACCCTCTGGCCAGGACTTATGTAATGAACAAGGATGGGGATTTTGAGAGGCAAGGAGAAGGTGGGCCAGGAATTGCTGATGGAGGCTGGACCACACACAAGTTTCTGTTTTCTGGTCCTGGATCGGACAGGGATGATGCTGAAGGTGGCACATGTTTTCTTCACGAAACCTCTCCTCTCACCTTGGATGATGAAGACTACTTGACCCTCGACCCCACGTTCTCAGGCCAGCTGCCCTGTGAAGAATGTCTAGAGGCAGATTCTGAGACTATTCCTCTGCCGCAGTTCTGCTCTTGGGGTGCTCTCGCAAAGTCTACACTTCCGGAAGAATCCCCCGGGAGTGAGAGTGACTGGGAGGATCTGGAGGAGTCTGTGGCCATGGATAGCATCCTCAGGTGGGTATCACACTCTGTGTGGGACGAGGCTTCACAGAACTCACTTAGGTTGGAGTACTGGTCCCCTAGGGTATCATCTGGAAGCCATTTCTGCTGACTGCTTTACTGTGGTCCCTGTTCCATGATGACTGCTTTACCAGCTGGGGACTCTTCCATACGCCACACCAGAGGCTTCTCCAGGGCTCTACAGTGACTAAAGCAGAGAGGCAGAATTCAAGTCTTTCTCTCCCTGCTCCTGGGTCCACATGTTGAGTGTCCCCTCTGCTGCCTCTAGCACATGTGTTTAGCTTTTTGGAGATCAGCATGTCAAGGGCTAGTTTCTGTCTTGCCTACACCTGCCTGGCCCTGGGATGTATATGCTTCAGACAATACTCCCGGTGTCATGTTACTGGAGTCTGCTTATAGAGCCTTTGTGGTTATGTACACTTCAGAAAATCAGGCATGGTGGCTCATATTTGTAATCCCAGTACTTAGGAAACACAGACAGGAGAATCACAACAGCAAAGGCATCCTCAGAACAGCATGGAGCCGCCAGAGACAGATGCTGGGAATTTTACCCAGTAAACTGCCAAATGGCGATACACAGATTACTAGGAATGGGTTAAACCAAGATGTAAGAGTTAGACAATAAGAAGTTAGAGCTAATGGGCCAAGCAGTGCTTTAATTAATACAGTTTCTGTGTGGTTATTTTGGGGCTAAGCTAGCCGGGCGGCCTGGATGAACAAGCGGGCTCTCCTCTCACATGAATAAGATGCTAAAAAGTCCCATTCTTTTCTGAAATAGACAAGTAACTAGAAAGATTCTGAGGCCTCAGAGGATGTTCACACACATATGTAGGGAATTCGACATCCTGACATGGAAGGAAGACACGGAAGGGTATATAGAACTGTGAAGCCAGCAGGAAGAGGCTTGCATGTCAAGATCACCCTTCTAGTTGATATCAGTGTGACAGGAGAGGTGAAAGAAGTCTGAGCTATCTACAGGCACATTTAGGGATTCAACTAAGTCATCGTGCATCTGCAGTGCTCCACTGAGAGCCACAGCACCTGGCTGTCTCCAGAAAGAGAGTAGAGAGGAAAGGACATTCCCATTGGAGGAGCTAATGTCTCCATCCTGGTGCCACCATTCACTGCAAATGGAGACAATGACGCCTACCTGAGGCCATCATTGGAAGGCTGAGAGAACAATACCGAATGTATAAGGTGCTTTTGGTAACAACTAGCTATTATTTTCATAGACTTCAATGGGATGATGCAAGCTTTTGAACACAGCTAATTCTGCTGGTTTTTCCACATCACATAGATAAAGGAACCAAGCAGACAGGCTTGTGTCCTAACATCAGGTTGGGGCAGGGAGAAGCACTCATTTATGGTCAAGGGTGGAATAAATGAACTGATTGGCCCTCAGCTATAGACTGGGAATGTAGATGGGATGAACCATGTCATCATCTCAAATCTTCCCCCAAAAGAGAACAGGTCTTATCTGCTGCTTAAGGAGGATGGCAGTTGGATGCCGAATGCTCATGGTGCCAGCTTGGGCCTAGGCTCTGTGGTTGTTCCACACATGTACTTTATAGCACTCAGGGCTATGAATCACACTATCCCTAGACAGTGTGTCTCTTTTGTGAAAAGCACCATGAACATCGCTTAAAACCTCTGAAGGGTCCAAGTCATCCATAAGTGAGTACTTCTGCTTATTATTCTCATTTGTCCCAGAAGTTGGGAGAGGAGGATACAAGAGGACTTTGCTTATGGCTAAGTAGTGCATCCTTTACAGCTATAGTCAAAGTATTGTTTGCTCCATTTAGACAAAGACGATTAAAAATAATTTTTTTTCCTGATGCTAGAGAGATGCCTCCACAGTGAAGAGCACTTTCAGAAGATCTGATTGATCTCCAGCAACCATACCAGGCTGTTCACAACCACCTGTAGTCCGGTTCCTGCGCATTTGACACTATCTTCTAGTTTCTACAGATACAGGCACAGAGGTGGCAGACACCACACACACAAACACACATGCACCCTCCCCACACACATACAATTTAAAAATCTTTTTTAAAAAAAGGTATTTTTCTATCAATAAATTTAGTCAATCTTTGTGGTATTCTTAGTTCTCTTCTATCAATAGGTTTTGTTGTTTTATTTAAATTGTTGAGGTTCACATCCTGTGTGGATCCATACCACAGCTGTCAGAATTGGCTTTCGATGCATTTTTATACAATGGCTCTTTCCACAAGAGTCTATAACACACAAATCTTTTCATCAAGTAGCAGGAAGACAACCTATTTTTTTTAAGGACTCAGGAGCACAAAAATTTAATTAATTAATTTCACACAGTAAACTTCTTTAGCCACACATCTTTACATGCAGGCATTCATCACAAAGAATCGCCGGTCTAGTTTGAGGCCTTTGGCCTCTGCTACACCATTGATGCTGGGCCCTCACTGGGACTCTTCCTGGACATGCCAGTGCTGCGCTGAGTCATGGAGAACCTGTAATCTGGATCTGCAGGACTCCCTCACCCCCTCTGCCACTGTGCTCCAGCAGATCACAGATGGGGTGGATTTGGGGTGGGTCAACACTTAATCCTTGTTCTGGGCCTGAGCAGTTGCTGGGTTGGTCAACCCACCAGCTCTCCCATGTCCTTGTCACCAGGGTGAGCTCTCCTGTATTGTCAGCTCCCTCATCTATTATAGGCTGTGAGGGATGAAGGGTAAGGGGAGCACCTCTCCCTGCTCACACTACTGCATGACAGACAAGTAGGGAAGGCAGCTTGCCCACACTCACAACCTTGGGGCTGGTTCACCCACACCTTTGACAAGAGGGTTGGCTATATGTGCTGCCCAGGTGAGGTGCAGGGCCTGTTCTCCTGAGTGTTGTAGCTGGTGGGGGGCAGGTCCTGCTCTTATGACCTCAGGGCCAGTTCTCCCACTTGCCTCAGGTGTTGATGGGAGCATCTCTCTCCCTCTTATGCTCCTACATGGTAGAAGAGGGATGGGGCCAGGTCTCTCATGCTCACATTCTAGAGGTAGGCTCACTTGCACCCTTGCCTATAGGGCTAGCTCCACTGTTCTTCCCAGACAAGGTGCAGGGCCTGATTTCCAATGTACCAGTGTTGCAACTGGTAAAGGTGTCAGCTCCCTTGCCTGCTTGAGGCAGTAGGGGATGCGGGGAGGGAATCTTTTCCTCACCCCCCCACCACACTGCAGAGGAGGGAGACAGTACAGCTATGCCCCTCTTAATGCCTTCAGGGATGGCTTACCCATGCTCCTGTCTACAGGGTCAATTCTACCATGCTGCCCAGGTGCCAGGTACAGGGCACATTTTCCAGAATGCTGCAGCTAGTGAGGACTTGGTTCGGCTCCCTCACTTGCTGCAGGTGTTGAGAGTTAAGGGGAGAAGAGCATCTTTCCCTTACTCATGGTACCACTTGGCAGATGAGAGGGGTGTAACCTGCTCCCCCATCCTCACACGCCCAGTGCCAGCTCACCTGTGCTCCAGTGAACAGGGTCAGCTCTATCATGCTGCCCAGGTGTAGAGCCCTCTCTCCTGCGTGCTTCAGCAGGTGAAGGGCAGCACCTGTTCTCCCTAGTGTTGTAGGCAGTGAGGGGCAAGGCCAACCCTGTACAGTCCTATCATCTCTGCCTTTGGTGATAACAAGGGCATAAGACATCAACACAGACCGTGGCTGCATCAGGGCCATGAAGCTAGGCATGGGCCCCAGTAGCAGCCCAGTCTGAGACAGCATCGTGTTACTGAGTGCCAATCAAGTCACCCACTTCAGCTACTCCTCACCACTTCTTAGTGCCTCTGTCCACAGGACATGAACTATTCTTTGTCTGTCTGTCTGTCTGTCGCCAATAACACACTGGATATGTGTTCACCATAACAGTGCCCCATCTGCCCAGCTGCCTGGTGGTGCTGAGCAGGCCCATTTTTTTTTTTCAAAGCCTGAGGCAGGTCTGCATGTGGTTCTTTGCCCTGCTCGGTCTGTCATTGCATTGGGCAGGAGCATGCTTGTTCATACAAACAAACAAACAAACAAACGAAAACAAGCATCTTTCTTTTGTGAAGCCAAAATAACAAAGCACAGTAAAAATAAAATCACCAAACCACAGTTCAGGGGGGTGGTCAGAACAGGGTTGAATTATGTAATTTAGAGAGGTTTCTTCACAAACAACCAGTCACCTACTACCATCTGCTCGCTCTTTCAGGTGAGCACACGGAGCGGAGCACCTCCTGGGACAGAGCCTGAGGGTTTCTGTGTGGGCATCCCCGAGAAGATGAGGTGGGGTGGAGCTCGTGCCCAGCTGTTGAGTGCTGACTTCTAAGTCTTTGTGCCTGGTGTTCCTGAGGGTAATCATCTTTAGTCGTCATGACTTCCTCTTCAGCTCTGGGGCTTAAGTCAAGCAAATCTTTGTGCAAATGGACTGGGGTTGTTCTCATGAAAGGAACTGGAAACATAATTTAAGCAACGTAAACTACGGCAGGGGAAAGTTCTGGTTGTCAAACAGGTGCGCCATTTTCCAAGATGGATGATGCAACATTCCGGTTTGCACCGCTGAGTCTTCGTTGGGCAAAGGACTCTGCTTGTCAAAGTGTCACCAGTATGCTGGAAGGAATCTGCCAAGGGGCTTGGCTCAAAGGTCGCAGAGGGAATAACCTTCTGTGTTTTTCTGTTTTGGTTTTTCCGTCTTTCCTTCAACTCCAAATAATCATGTGTTCTTTTCAAATGACTCTTCTGTTTGATCTTAATGTCTGATTCTCATTATATAAATGTAAACTATAGTAGAGCTAACATTTCTTGATGTTGCTATGTAGATGGCACAATAAAACTTATGGAATTAGCAAATATATAAAGGAAATAGACCTGGTGGACCACAATTCAAGTCGTTGGTGTGCCTCTGTGTAATGTGAACCATATGGCAGAGATGAGGTCTCACATAATATAATGAGGGTGCGTGTTTAATGTAGGTCATGGCTTGTTCTGCCACTTTCAGAAAATAATTTTTCAGCAATTTGAATAGCCTTGTTTTGGACAGCAAATATATTTTTGCATATTGCTGCATAGTTTTGTAGGTCTCAAGTTTGGAGAATTAATTAACTATGCAATAAAATGACTAAATAACAGTTTTTTTCCCCCAATCTTCTGAACTCTGGTTGCTTCTTCCATACTTGAACTAGAAATAGGCAGATACCTAAAAAAGTAAACACAGTCTTCCTCCCTGTAGGACAGGGTCCCTTCTCCTTGGGCATGTACGTCCACGCTGAGCCATTTTTCATGAAAACATGTTAACTTGCCTTACGGGCTTGGTAGCAGCTGTCACTTTATGCCAGGGGAAGTATGAGGAGGAGCGGTACAATCCTATGAATTCGTGGGAGAACTCTGGCTCTCAGCACATACCAGCATGCTTCTCTACATGGAACACTTTCAGACTTGCCAGTGCTTGGGGGTTCCAAAACACAGACTCAGTGGGCTTACCCTTTGAAACCCTGAGTCACTAGAGCTGGGTGATGCCAAAGGCACATCCTAACACCGAGGTCAGCAGGTGATTGTTTATATGGCCAGATTTGGGGACAACTGTCCGAGAACCTCTGAAGTTTCTCAGTGACTTCTCTACTCCTTCATCCTCATCCCTTGCCAAAAAACTTCAAGCTCTCGTATATCCTGGAAGTTGCTGAATTATATGCATATCCAGTCCTAAATACAATGTAAAATTGGCTAACTCATTCGAAATAGTAAAGATACCAAAGTCTCCCCAAATTATTTGTATGTTTACTGAAGTTCCTATCATAATCCTGGCACAGTAATTTGGAGCTATGGAAAACTTTATTCTGCAATCAATTTTGTTTTATGTTCCTAATATAATTATATGAAGAAAATGTATTCTGAAATTTATATAAAAGGTACAGGCTTTAGAATATATAAAATATCTTTTAAAAGAAGAATAAGGTGGGAGAAATTACTAGACCCCAAATTAAGGCTTGCTGTGTAATTTTATAGATAAAAAAATACATAAGACTGAATGCAGAACCCAGAAATATGTTCACACACATATTCTCAATTGGTATTTTTGGCAGAAGTATAGAAGAAATTCAATGGAGAAAGAACAATTTTTAATAAATAATATTGGGATAGCAATTATCTAAACTTCACATTTTGTATAAAACAAGTAATGGATTTAATGTAACTGTAAAAGGGTAAGACTTTTAAAAGGAAAAAAAAGTTTTTGAAACCTATAACTAGACAAAGAGATCTTAGACATGATGACTCATAAATAAAAGAATTGACATTTTTTTCCTCTGTAAAGACTTTGGTAAAAAGACTGAAGATAAACTTTAAAATGAAAGAAAGTAGCTATAAATTCAACAAAGAGTTAGTATGTAGTATATAAAAAGAACCCTCAAATCTCAATAGTAAAAAAGATATCCAAATAGAAAATTGACATGAATTATTAGTAGATATTCCTCTGCAGGTGTCATACAGAGTCATATCAATGCTGAATTTCATGAACCACAAGTGTAAACAGAAGTTACAGTATTGTTTTACAAATGTCTCCACATGGTAAAATAAGGTTATGCAGACAATACCCAAAGCCAGTGAGGATGTGGGAAGACTGCACTGTCTGTCTCTATGTTACCACTCAGACTGTACCGCCTCTCCATTGCCACTAAGACTGCACTGCATCTATGCTGCCACTAAGCATCCACAGCCTCTATACTGCTAAGCATGCCCTGCCTCTATGCAGCCACTAAGAATGCACCGCCTCTACGTTACCGCTAATAATGCACAGTCTCGACGCTGCTAAGAATGTAAACTATTGCATTCGATCCAGAAACACCTTGATAACAGTTTATAAAAACCAAACACACAATTACCACAGGACGAAGAAGTTGCACACTGTGAGTTTATCCCAGAGAAATTAAAATTTATATTTATACATATATTCTCATTGTGACTTTATTTGTAATTGCACTGAGCCAGAAAAAACCAAATGTCTTTCAATCAATGAATGGCTAAACAAAGGGTGATAATCCATATAAAAAGTGGGCAATTGACACATACACAACAAGGTAGGATGGAACTCCAAAGAATTACTCTAAAAAAAAGCAGTCCAAAAGAAAGTACAAATCTGATTCCATTTGTATAACATTCTTTTCCCTCTTAAAAATACTTTTCTCTCATATTATAAATCCTGACTGCAGCACCCTTCCCATTCTCCCAGCCATACCCCCAGATCTATTGCTCCTCTATTTCCCTTGAGAAAAGAGTAGAAATTGTAACATGGAGGGGCCTGCTTGTTGGGGTTTCTCTCCCACCCGGTACCCAACAGCCGGCAAACCCCAAAGAAAATCACACAGGGGATTCCATAAGATTATAAACTGATTGGCCCATTAGCTCAGGCTACTTATTAGCTCTTTTAACTTATGTTAGCCCATTATTTTTTAATCTATGTTAGCCACACAGCTCAGTACCTTTCTCAGCGGGGGGCAGCTTACACCTTGCCTCTCCGGTGGTCTGGGCAGAACTGTGGACGGAGCTTACTGCTTCCCAGAATATTCCTGTTCTTTTTGCTCCACCTCTACTTCCTGTCTGGTTTTCCCTCCTATACTTCCTCCCTGGCCAATTAGCATTTATTTAAAATATGATTGACAGAATACAGGCAATTCTCCCACACCAAGAAATATCAACCAAACATGGCATAAGATACAATAAGACTAGGCACAAACCCTCACATCAAAGCTGGATGAGGCAACCAAGTAAGAGGAAAATATCCAATGAATAGGCAAAAGAGTCAGAGACACCCCCACTCTCATTGTTAGGGGCCTCATAAAAACACAATCATTTCAAGTCAAAAAGGTTTCATTTTAAAAAAAAACGGTGAATTCTCACTCAACTCTGCTTTGCCTCCTTCATGGCCGCCTCACATACTGTCAAAATGAGTTCTTCAGAAAGCTACAGATCTACAGACAGAGGAGATGGAAGGAAAGCCTCAGAGATTGCCTGTATCTGAGTTGCCCATGACTGCTCACCAGCCTGCCTGTATAGAGCCACCACTGTGGTGCTTACAGTAGTTTTTCATAAAATAAAATAATTTAAAACATTTCTTTCTCCTAGTTACATGAGCTCTGTTGCAGAATACAACCATAGAGAAAAAAGGAACCAAAAGAATATTGGAAAAGAAGTATCTATGTGCTCCATTTCATCGTGATAGACACTTATTGAGCACCCAGTACCCAGTTAGGCCAAGATGATGGGGAGGGATGTGGATGTGGATTTTCTACGGGGTCCTGCTACCTAGGAGGAGATCAAAGACAAACACATGAGACAGCACCATAATCAGGAGGACTGCTGCCAGAATGATGGTACAGACATCAACATATAAACAACAGGTTAAAAAAGTAACCTCAAAGGAATGATTAATCCTGTCAGAGAGATAGACCTTGAATAAATGTGTATTATAGGACTTGGCAGGTTGGGCATAGGCAGTGGCAAGTTGAGGTGGAGGAGGAGCCAAGGCTGGAGTAGATTATGAGTTAAGAGTCTTGACTTCTCAGTTATGTTTGTTACAGAATTCATATTGGAGAGATTAGTCTTGTTTGTGGAGTAGGACAACAATCGGCTTAAGGAAGACAGGCCCACATGCCACCGGACCAAGTGGCAGTCTGAAACTGCTCAGACTGAGAGTCTGAATAAACCTTTCCTCTTTTTCAAAGCTGATAATCTCGGGTATTTTGTTACAGTAACAGAAAGCTGGCTAATGCAGGGACTGTTGTGAAATAATTGATTTGACCATGTTTGGCTTTGTACGTGTAGCATTTGTGATTTCTTAAGATAGAGAGAGGATCACAGAGGGATGTTTATATTGAGGTGAGGTTGCACGGTACTCTTTTGCAGAGGAAGCGGTTACTAAGGCCTTGCAGCAATATGAGCCATGGCTTTATCTATCAGAGACGGTGTGGAAAGGACCGAAGAGACAGATGTGCTGCACACACTGATGGACTGGGAGAGCAAAAGAGGAGAGCATGGGTGTGTGTCTACATAGACACAGCTGAGGTTATAGGAGGAACAGGAGAGGAAATGATGGAAGCTATGATTATGGGCTCTCTGCTTTTTTTTTTAAAAAAAATTAGAATCATCCTTGTCTGACTGACATGATGTCCCTCACCTTTGATAAGAGATTGTTCAACACTCCAACAGACTCCAAATTTCTTTCTGACTCCATTCTCAACACCAGTCCTGTGTTCTCTCTGTGGGTATAAAGTAGTCTGTGATCGCATTTTAAGCATCTTACCATCCTCCTTCTTGCCCAGGTTTGCCTGGCTGGCTGTCTTCAGAGAAATGCCCCTTTGATAGTGATAGAATGAACCATCATATTTAATTTAGGGGACACATAGATATTTTGGGGAGTGTTTTGGAAAAGTTCCTCCATGCATCTATGAAGGAAATTCACAAGTTCTTATTTATGCACTCCAATGGTAGACACTGTTGGTCTTTCCAGAACCCAAAGAGTAGAACCAATCTTAAGAATCGACCAAATGAAATCAATATTATGGTTATTGGAGCAGGAAGATGAAGGGACCCTGGGTCATCGGTACTATATAACTGAGATTCTGAGCCAACTACATAGGAGTCCTGTCCTACAGTGAGTGCTGGAGATCTCATAATGACAACCCTGAAAGGGTTAATTACCATGGTGGATGGAGGTTATGTGGCACCGCACAGGCAATGAAGACAGATGTGAAGATTTCCTGCAGGGAAATCCCTGAGGAGCAATGAGCATCGTTCATACCTGCCTCAACAATTCTTTTCTGAGAATGCCAACTGCAGAGGTGCCAGAGCCTGGGTCTGATGGGTAGGGCATGTATGTAAAGCAGGAGGAGAAAGGAAAGACAGTAGCGCTCCCTCTCCCCAGGTGGGAATACAGAATGGGGACAAGCAGTTAGGTAAGCTAGAGGGAGCTTTACATAGAAACGGGACTGTTCTGGGTGCTTCACCTCGTGGACCAGCCCTAGGTTTTACATGCAAGAGCCTAGTGAAAAAAGACACTGGAGCAAGTTTGATTGACATTGGAAAGACACCAAGAAGTTGTGCTCTGTTAAGTTCAACTAGTGAGATACAATAGCAAAGCCTATGGTTTCTCTCCTTGTGGTATATCCTACGGAGCAATGGGTACATCGAAGTTATAGATGAGTTAACAGCCATCTAATGGAACAATCATTTTATATTTGTGGGGTGTCTGCCATCTGCCAGGCTCAGGGACTGGGCATTTATTACAAAGTAAGTGCATGTCCTTCTGAAGCTCTTTAAATAAAATGGTTTTCAGTCTCCACTGGGGCTTTTATTGGGATTGGACTTCGCTCAATTTATTTTTATAGAGTCTTTTATGGCAAGTGTCTCAAAGTCAGGCAGAAAGAAAGTGGCACACAGAGAGGCCGCACAGCTTCTTTCAAGCTCATGGTTCTCATCAACTCATATTTAATTCTGGCTGTGAAAAATTCCATCCCAAAATAAACCGAACAACCAAACAGAGGCTTGCACCAGGGTTGTTGTGGAGGGGAAATGTCACTCAGGGGATTATTCTGTTTCCATCACTGTTTCTCTTTTCTTTCTTCTTCTCCTTTGACAGGCTTCCACAATGGTTGGAATTCATTACATAGCCTAGTCGACCTGAATTAGCTCTCTCTCTGTAGGCATCTGCGTGTGTCATATTGTGAGATGTGTATATGGTATATGCTGTATGCGATTGTTAATATGGGTGTTCTCACATGTGTGGGTGGCTGTTTGTGAACGCATGTGCACACATGTAGAAGGCAGACCACTCACCACATTTATTTATCTGAGGCCAAATTATTTATTTATTTATTTATTTATTTATTTATTTAGTCTCTCACTAAACCTGAAGCTTATCTACTGGGCGAGGCTGGCTGGAATGGACTTCAGAGATTCCCCTGTTTCCACAGCTCCTTTTCTAGTATTCGCATTACAGGCACGTGCCACTGTGCCCAGCTTTTTACTTGGGTTCTGGGGATCTGAACTCAGGTTCTCACACTTTTATGGCATGTACCAGCTGAGCCACCTCTTCAACTCGACTACAAACTCTTGATCCTTCTGTCTGTGATTCTTGAATGCTGGGGCTAGAGGTATGTATTACCATGATTAGGTTTCTGTCAGTATTTTTAAGTTTTTATTACCTGCTTTTCCAGGCTTGAAGTATTGACTGAACTTGAGACTAAGCTTGGGCCTGGGAGACTAGGACGAAGTGACTTTGCCAGCTATGGACTTTTGGCCCAGCGAATGGTTCCAGGCATGTGTTTCATCTTGTGGCTTTAAATCCGAGCTGAAATTAGTTCTCTTGTTTTTGTTATAGCAATAAACTGTTTCTTGAGTTCTTATCTTTATAACCATAGATTAGTGTGTATCTCTCAGTCCTCATTGGAGAAAGTCATTTCTGTAGTAGATGACAATTAACGCAGAGACCCCCAACTGATCACATGCAGAGAATGAGAAGCAATGACATGCTCATGTCTAAATGGGACATCTGTATCGTACCCCCTGTCCCCAAGGCTTAGAGATCATCTGGGAAGGGAAGGTGGAAATATTGCAAGAGTCAGAGGAAAGAAATTCCTGTAGCAAAACAGTGCGTTCTGGATATGACAATGCAGTTGTGCACATAAACTCACGGAGGCTGTGACTGCACACACAAGTTCTGCAAAGATCAAGGCAGCACAAATCCCAGCACAGATGAGACTCACAAAGGAGCTATTTAGCAACTTATGGTTGCCTGGGTTGGGGAGTGCAGTCAGTTTTCTTCAAGGATGGGGAGCCTCAGAAACTACTCAGGCCCCAAGTATGCGGTTCTATATTTGTGTACATGTGGGTGGCACTGAGTGGACTCAGTGGGTCTTAACAAGCAAGAGTGAGTACAGAGAGTTGGAAAGGAAAAGGACGGGAGGGATAAAGGAGAAACTGCTGGAGAGGAAAGGAGGGTAGATTCATAACTATATGCATGTAAGAATATTAAATAAAACTTTTTAAAAGGCAAAATAAACATAACTTATGATCCCGAGGCACTGGTTCTTGGTACCCACTAGGGTCGTTTCTAGTCTATAACTTGGAATGAGAGACTGAACCTTTCCTCAGCAGGCAATAGACATTGCTTAGTCCTTAGGGGTCACCCCAAAGGAATTCTGGGTACTCAAATTAGGGGCAACTATGGCAAAGTCTATGGATTTGGGAACATGGCTGGAAACCCTGTGAGGTTAAGTTCTGGGTTTAGGAAAAGAGGGACCTTAGTAACCAGGTTTTTGGTCTCTGTTTTGGGATCACTCTCTACTCCACGAAGGGATCCAGTCCTACTTTCTCTCAGAAGGACCAAGGGACAGAGCACTGGGTTAGCTGTTGGGAGAAACAGTCAAGACAGGGATGTGAGCACCGAACTCCGGCGGGCACTGGAGCTGAATACATCTGTCTGTTTAGGCTCAACACACCCCCATAAAATTCGGTCTCCTTTTTAAAAACTGAGACAAAAGTTGTAGAGTTCTTTGGATGACTTGGTCTCTGGAGGCAAAGTGATGGCTTTGTTTAATACAGTAGGGCCTGTAAGATGCCTCCCACTACTGAGAGCCAACAAAACACAGGTTTAGAAAGGTCAATGAAGAAAGGATACTTCCAGCCCTGGAGCCTGGAACAGGAAACTCACTGCCCTGGGCCAGGTCAAAGGGTAGCTCTTGCTATTGGGCTACACGGCAACTCAGATAGGCTGTCTTCTTGGACAAGCGTGAACAACCAGGGCTAAGCGCAGCACACACGTCTTGCCATATCTTCAAGGGAATTGGACCAAATGGAAAGATGCTCTCGTCAAGATAGAAGGAGTCTGGCTTCACATTCTCAGGCAACGTCTACTTCTTGAAGTTCCTCTAATGTGACCTCTCTAGCTGAAACTGCTCCAACTGATGTAGTCAGTTGACTTCCTATTCTGGCACGGATGAGGGACTCCTTCTGCACTCATCGGTCTGCCTTGCTCGGATCTTAAATCTAAAGGGACTCCCCGTCCCACCCCTTTGGGACGCAGTAGGCGACTTAGAAACTACTCGCACAGAAGGTGTGGATGCTTCATACAACAGCTGTCTTTGTAAGCGTGGCAGGAAGGAAATAAAACACACAGGCTAGAGGCAAACACTACGGGGAACTTAATTCCGGGAGCTGCAGTACCGCGAAAGACCAGCAGGGGAAGCACTGCCGTCTCCGACCAGGCTTAGACTGGCTGAATGAGACTGCAGTGCGCAGGCTCGTGGGGGCTCTGGCGCGAACCTCCTGGGAGGCGGTTGGGGCCGCGGGGACGATGGGCCCAGGTGAGGAGAGGTGGGCCAGGTCAGGTGGCACTCAGGCATGAGGGGTCATCCTTCTTCTGCCTCTCAGGAAGGAAAAGGAGCCATGGATGCGCGGAGGCCTCGAGCACAGGCTGGACTCCGAGGGGCCCCTGGTCTGTGGAGTGAGCCTGACCGTGGGGGCGGGAGGGCAGGCTTCGGTCTAGCCTCGGGGTGACCGCTCGGGGTGACCGGTGTGGGCCTGCCAACCCTGGCTGTGGGGTAGAGGAAGGTTTGGGGGTGCGGCTGAGGAGCATGCTTCTGATAGGACTGGCAATTAGCTGCTCTGGGCCTCTAAGACCTGGCTCTGGTGACCAGGGAGGTTTGGAGGCCTAGGGTGCCATGGACCCTCAAGAGCTAGTGAAGGTTGGGGTGTCTAGAGAGAACTGAGTGAAACCGAGAGTTCCACAAAGAAGAGGGGAGCATGAAATAAATAAGGAGGGGAAAACTGGTTGTTGCTTGTGTTGAATGCTATTGTGTAAGATGTTCGTGAGGGAGGCTGAGACAAGATGGTTTCAACCCCAAACTAGAAACCAAGGCCAAATGGAAACAGAATTTACCCCCCAATGTTTTTGACAACTGTGAAGATTTTAATCACTTTAATAAACAGAACTTTAGTCAATAAGAAAGAGGGACCTTTTGGTCAAATTGATTTTTTTTTTTAAGGATTTGTCCCTATGCTAATGTGATTGAGATCATAGGATGAGAGAAATGATACAGATAAAAGAGAGGAACTTTGCCTGAGGGAATCCTTGAAAGTCTGAGAGGAGAGTTACAACAGACTTGTGTTCTACGTTTTAAAACCAGCTAGCAGCTAGAAGGGAAACTGAGGCAATAGGTGCGGATCATGTTGCTAGTGGAGGAAGACCTGTCTGTCAGCAGTCAGGCAATGCTAGTGGGCACTCTGTGACAGAGTTCTCTGGAGAGTGGGAAAGGAAACTGAGGTGACAGAATTGAATTGCCGCTGTGTTAAGGGCCTATGTGTAGTCATGAACCTGTGAGGCCAGCCAGTATGGTTTTATGATTTTTCTGTTGGGAAGGTTTTACAAAGATTAAATTATTTAGATTCATGAATAGCATCTGATTCATTAGAATATAACTTCTGTTTGAGTTCTTATTTTGTTTTCTTTTACTGTTTTTACAAATGTGACCTAGAGGGGTGACATTTACAACCATACAGGATCTTCTCCTTCGGCACATTCTTTAGTGAGACCTGATTCACCAAGTTTGCGGTTTGCAGCTGCCTTAGACATCTGGTCCTGATTGATTAGGATTATCTAGCTTTGTAGCGCGGCTGCTTGTGCTTTGGGTCAGAAGATGGTCACAGTGACAATCATTAAGAATTTGTGAAAAGATCTTTTTATTGCTACATTTCATATTGGATCTAATTTACCCACAGTTACACAATCTACAGCTCTAGTCTCACCAGGGAAAAACCAGTTTTATAGGTTATTATCGCTCCCTGACCACATGGGCTATATTAAAATACAAATGTAATAATGGCTGATATTGAGTGAGCTCCAGTTCCTGGCTTTGCTTTAGACTTTTTTTCAGCTGCTTGGCCATAACTCCCAAAGCCAGATCTGCTGTATCTTAAATTGCCTTGTTGTGTGACTTTGGGCAAATCATTTATCTCTCTCTCTCTCTCTCTCTCTCTCTCTCTCTCTCTCTCTTTCTTTCATTAATGATGTGGGAATGAGTAATAATAACAGTTGTCTGATTAGTTATTGTAAGGATCTAAGGACAAATGTGATGACACCGGAGAGGTATCCCTACCTGTTGATTGGTTCCATTCTAGCCATTGCATTTAGTTAGGGTCTAGGCACTGTATTATTTCATCTTGGGGCTTGCTTACTTTGCTTCTGATTGCGTTGTCTGTATAGGTAAAATAAATATATGTGAGTTTGCTGATAGATGCAAAAAACCAGCATATTTCATCTGGATTTATGCAGGGAACCAATGAGGTACAATTCTTTAGTGTTGACATTGATTGCTTGCCACAAAGAGCTTGGGGAATGAGTCAGATTTTATGGTTCCAAACTGGCAGACCACTGAAGATATTTGGTTGGAAAGATCAGTGATCTACATGGCCAGTGCTCGGTACAGTGCATGGGAAATGATGTAGGTGATTTGGCTTCACATAAGAGACTTGGGAAAAAATCTATAAGGCTAGAGGGTTACTATGATTGGAAGCAACTGGACAGGCTTGGCATTTGGGACCAGTGGAAATTCCAAATGATGTTTGTTGGTATACAGTGACAGGGACAGTAAGTGTGTGCAGCAGAGCAGTGACCCAGAAAGTCTGTAGTGAGAGCTGTATCAGAATTTGCGGGATGCTGTGCTCCATTTTCACAGATTCAGAGTCAGTAAGTCACAGTAATGTTCTGGAGTCCATCAATTTTTAAAGAATCCTGTGAGTGACTTAGATGCGCAGTTCATCTGGGATCTCATTAGTGCGCAAACCAGTGCTTTGCAGCTCTCACTCTGTTTCCTAATCACCGTTCAATCGACTTTTACAAACTATCAGTGTTCTGGTGCCACCCCAGATTTAATTGGCTCAGAGAGAGTCTGGACATTGGTACTGTTTTTTGTTTGTTTGTTTTTTGTTTTTTGAGACAGGGTTTCTCTATAGCTTTGGAACCTATCCTGGAACTAGCTCTTGTAGACCAGACTGGCCTTGAACTCAGAGATCCAGCCTGCCTCTGCCTCCCTAGTGCTGGGATTAAAGGCATGCACCACCACTGCCTGGCAACCTTGAGACTCTCCTGTGCTGCTGGTTCTGAAGATCACTGCTGTAGTCTGTTGATTTCTGTCCCGCCGCTGTTCAGTTACAAAAAGTACACAAGAGGTCTACATTAATTATAAACTGGTTGGCCTAGTAGCTCAGGCTTCTTATTAACTCTTACATCCTATATCTTAACCCATAATTCTTTTCTGTGTTAGCAAAGTGGCTTGGTACCTTTTATCAGCAAGGCATTCTCATTTTGCTTCCTCTGTGCCTGGGTGAAGGCTGCAGACCTCGTCTTGCCTGTTCCCAGAATTGTCCTCTGCCTCTACTTCTTGCCTGGTTGCCCCACCTATACTTCCTGCCTGGCTACTAGCCAATCAGCATTTTATTAAACAAATCTTAACAGGATAAAACCATTGTTCCACAGCAATAGTCAGCCAGATTTCCTTCCATAGGCATAGCTTCAGGTGGCATGTTATCAGGAAAGTGAAAAATTAGCATTTCTGTACTCCTTAATACAAATATTCAATCTAACAATGAAATGACTGAAAATGGGGAATTGATGGGTGAATTAGTATTTCTCACACTTAGTATCGGCAGTTTCTCAGGCTCACCCTGGGAGATTGCCATTTATCAGGAGCTTTATATATAATCTCAGTCTTACAGCAACTCTGGGAGATTGTATATTCCCTCTGTAATTTAGATGACAATTCTGAGGCCAAGGGAGGGTTAAGTTACCTTGTATATATTTTTATGTCTAGGCATAGACAGTTGCAAAGCCTAGATTGATTTTTTCAGAGCTTCTCAAACTGGAGCTCACCCTGGGGTATCCCAAGGGAACTTTAAAAACAGCCAGTGTTGGGATCTCATTCTCATAGGTACTGATTTTGTTATTCTGGGGTGGCCAGGCATTGGAATTTTGCAAAACTCTTCAGCTAATTCTAGTGTGCACATCAGACTGGCAGTCTAAGCAAACTTTATTTCCGATTATCGTGGGGAGTTATGTGTACACATGCCATGGCACACGCTTGGATGCCATAGGACAGCTTTGCAGAATCAGTTGTCTCCTTCTACTTTTGCTGTGCTTCTGAGACTTGAACTCAGATTGCCAGATTTGATGGACAAACATCTTCACCCCCTGAACCATTCACCAGTCTGCTGTGCGCTTTTGTAATGGTTTAATTTCTATTCGTGCTGGTTTATTGTCCTGCTGTTGACTATTTCAGCTAGGTTTCCTGCCTCCATCTTTGCACTCATAGTTTCCTCAGTGTCCTTTTAGTTGATCAAATGTGGCAAGAATCTTTCTATGTGTATATTTGTCATCTGTATTCCTTTGGTCATGTGCCTGCTCAAATAGTTTCTGAGTCATGAGCCCTATATATAGGGTACACGTCCCTTTCCCAGTAAACATTTTGTTAAGTATTTTTCCCAGTTGTGTGTGTGTGTGTGTGTGTATACACACGGGTGTATGTGTGTGTACTGTCTTAATGTTAATGACGTCTATATTTTGATACTTTTCTGTAAAACCACATTTAACATGGTGCGTTCTTCATGTAGCAGAGAATTTTATCTGATTCAGTGTCATACCCCTAGGTGATGTTTTTCTTTTTTGTTGTTGTTGTTTTACACCAAGTCTTATGTTGTCCAGACTGGTCTTGAACTCTTGGTCTTCCAGCCTCCACCTCTCAAGTGTTGGGATTTACAGACAGGTCTGTGTCATCCTACTCCGCTTCCCCTCGTGTTCCCCAGTAGCTTTATGGGTTTAGGTTTGGTTCACTTCTGTACATAGTATGAGAGTTGGATGAAGTCCATAATTTTGCATAGAGAGGTCCAATTTTTTCTTCACTGTTTGTTGAAAGTACTGTCTTGATTCCTTTCCCAAACACTAGTTGACCCTGTGAGAATTATTTCTGCCTTTTTTCTTCCCTGCTTAGGTGTTTTTCTGTTCTCACACCAATACCATGGGGTCTGGATGTTTCACCATTTGTATTTATTGTAAGGAAGTCCTCGTAGTGGTCAGATATAAGTCCTTATGTGAAACATCTTGGGCTTCTGTATGCTTAGAAATGCACTAAGTAGCTTAAAATGGGTGTAGTAAGGAATACATTTGCAGATATTCTCATTAGAACTCAGAGTGAAATGTTGTCTTTTGAAAATGAGATGATAAAACTGCTTTTGAGCAGTGCAGACCTGTGCTGGTTCTAGGAGAGAGGAAGAATGAAAATTATGGAGGGCCCAATACTAATATAAGTTTTTGGTAAAGCAAGAAGGTGGAAAGATACAAAGTATTCAGATTTTCAAAAAGACATAAAAATATATTTGTGGACATGATTATATAGGAAATCCCAAGAAATCTACAAAAGAGCTGTTAGACTAAATAGTGACCTT